CAGGTCCCTGGGCACGGCCACGTGGCAGGTCCCCATCCCCATGCACAGTCACATTGCAGGTCCCCAGGCACAGCCACGTGCCAGGTCGCTGTCCCTGCGCACAGCCGCATGGCAGATCCCAAGGCATTGTCTTGCGACATGTCCCTGTCCCTGGGCACAGCCACGCAGCATGTCCCCATCCTCATGCACGGCCATGCAGCGGGTCCCTGTCCCCATGCACAGCCACGCAGCAGGTCCCTGTTCCCAAGCACGGCCATACAGCAGGTCCCCATCCCCATGCACAGCCACGCAGCAGGTCCCTGTCCCCATGCACGGCCATGCAGCGGGTCCCTGTGCCGATGCACAGCCACGCAGCACGTCCCCATCCCCATGCACGGCCACGCAGCGGGTCCCTGTCCCCATGCACAGCCATGCAGCAGGTCCCCATCCCCAAGCACGGCCACGCAGCAGGTCCCTGTCCCCATGCATGGCCATGCAGCATGTCCCCATCCCCATGCACGGCCATGCAGCGGGTCCCTGTGCCAATGCACAGCCATGCAGCACGTCCCCATCCCCATGCACAGCCATGCAGCAGGTCCCTGTCCCCGTGCATGGCCACGCAGCAGGTCTCCGTCCCCAGGCACAGCCACACAGCAGGTCCCTGTCCCCAAGCACGGCCAGGCAGCAGGTCCCCATCAGGACCCCAGCCATCTCATGGGCTTGTCCTGCAGCAGACCATGACGGGGAGAGGAGAGCGGCTCTCCACTCATCCCACGAGCGATGCCTGCCACGGCAGAGCCCCACAGCCGTGCCCGCACCGTGTCGCGGTGGGCTGGCCAGAGGGCCCCCTCCCCCCACGAGCGATGCCTGCCACGGCAGAGCCCCACAGCCGTGCCAGCACCGTGTCGCGGTGGCCTGGCAAGAGGGGCGGCCGGAGGGGAACGGGCGTCGCGGTGCCAGCAGGCTGTTTCAAAGCCGTCTCCGTCCGCCATCCAGTGATGAGCTGGGCTAATTTTAGCACCTTATCTGGGGCCTCTCTCCCCGTCTCCCATCTCTTATCTGGTTGATCCGCTGCCAGCAATTTGCTCCCAATGGCAACAAGAGACACGTGGCGGGGCCGGGCCAGGGCCACCGGCGTCCTCTTTGCTGCGAAACCTGGGTGGGTGCTCTGATGTCTAATAAGGGGTTAGGGCCAGGGAGGGCTTTGGGTGATGGGGGCAAATCCTGGGGCTGGGGGATGCTCCGAGTGAGAGCGTCTTGGAGGTCCCAGCTCGTGGATTCGGAGGGGTATAGGAAGGGAGATGGAGATTATT